TGTTTTTCCCGCCTTTTTCTACACGTACAGTTTTAGAATGTTCTGGAAATATTTAAAGCGAACTGGATTGGCTGACGAGGCTGACGTCATTTCTTGGAAGCTCCGCCTTTCCAGAGGCTATAAAAAGACTCGCAAAGGAGTATCGGGGCTTTTTCTTAAATGTCACGATGCAGTAAACTTCAAACAAAATGTTATTAGTAATTCTTTTTTATTTACTCCGGATATCTGGTTTTGTAACTGCTATTTCTCCTACCAATAATAAATGGATCCTGTTTTTTAAACTTATCGTCTGATAATTTAAGCTACGACTACATATGATTCTTCAACAATCTATTTATTCCTGGAAAAAGCTGGTACATCACATATATATATACGTTTGGTACTACTGATTGCAATAAAAAAAGGGATGTGCACAATTAGATGTTATAGTGGTCCCATATATAAAAAATTGCAACGTCCTGCAAGCTAATCGTTTTTGAGTTATGCAAGATGCGTACATACATACATTCGTGACGTCTGTACGTACATACATACACGTACAGACGTCACGAAAAAAAAAACCTTTTGAATCCATTTTAAATCCATTTTACAATGAGTTTTCTAAAAAAGGGTTCTTTATTCTATCCGCACGTACAAAAATCACGCAAAAAAGAATCGTCCAAATGGACTCGGAAGTGGTCAAAATGGAGTACTAAAACAATTAATTAAGTTAACTAAAACAATTAATTAAGACTCGGAAGTGGTCAAAATGGAGTACTTAATCAAAATTTAGTACTTAAACAATTAATGAACCTTTTTTCAGTTTTTGTTATAATATGATGTATTATGTATACAATAATGCACAGACAATATAATATTATTCTAGTTTGATTTTATAACAAAAAGCATTTCCGCAATAATGAATTGATATAGTCAAACTAGTAGAAAAACTTACGTTATAAGTTAAATATATTTCTGGGCTAACTATTCCTCAAGTTAAATAATAGTTAATGTTGGAGAAGTATAGTTTCCTCTTTTATTTTATTGAATCATCACCTGATAAAATTCGATATTATCGAAATGTCCATTCCCGTCAAATAATCTACTAGATTTCTTAGCGTGGAATCGGAAAACTGCCTTTCGGTTTTCCGATAGAGAGCGGTCGATTTTTCCATTCATCTCTCAAAAGTACAAAGGGAGAAAAAGGGGAAAAAATGCACCGAAACTAGATGGTCGATGCGGTAGGAAACTTCTTAACAGCTCTTACGTATCATTAAGTATGCATTCAAACGGAAGGTTTCGAAACCTTCTTTAAAGTCACCGTTTTTCTGTGAAAAAGGTCCTCAAATTATCCGTTTTCGTTTGTGGAAGGAACGCCCCTTCTCTTTTCGCAAGCCAATAAAAAATAAAATCGGTTGCTTCAGTCATACCTATGTTTTCTTCGTTAAAGGCTGTTAAATCATATATCAGATTTCCTCTATTATGATTACATTTTTTTTGTTCTTTTATTATACTGCTATATGATCAATTTTCATATGCATTCGAGTTTTGATTTTATATCAGTTTCTGTATTTATGAGAGCTAATAATGCTTAATGATATCTAATGCAAGAAATGTTACATTTCTTATCTTAATAAAGATGTTTTTGATATGTAGGAGACTCAAATGCACTTACATTCGAAGCAAAGTGAAAGTCTTATTTGGCTTTCATTGTCTGTAAAAAGGAAACTCTTTTAGAAGAAAAATTTGCGTTTTTACTTCCTCGTACGAAGTAAAGGAGGTATTGTAATTGCGAACAATTTCGGGTTTTATATTTAAATGGAAGTATCCATTTTGACCTCTTCCGAATCCATTCGGACGAATTTTTTATGCGTGATTTTTGTACGTGCGGATAGAATAAAGAACCATTTTTACAAAACTCATTGTAAAATGGATTTAAAATGGATTCAAAAGTTTTTTTTCGTGACGTCTGTACGTGTATGTATGTACGTACAGACGTCACGAATGTATGTATGTACGCATCTTGCATTAGTCAAAAACGATTAGCCTGTAGCACGTAGCAATTTTTTATATGAGACCACTATAACATATAGTTGTGCACATACCTTTTTTTATTGCAATCAGTAGTACCAAACGTATATATATATATATATGTGATGTACCAGCTTTTGTCAGGAATAAATAGATTGTTGAAGAATCATAAATGTAGTCGTAGCTTAAATTATCAGACGATAAGTTTAAAAAACAGGATCCATTTATTATTGGTCAGGAGAAATAGCAGTTACAAAATCAGATATCCGAAGTAAATAAAAAAGAATTACTAATAACATTTTGTATCAATTTTACTGCATCGTGACATTTCAGAAAAAGCCCCGATACTCCTTTGCGAGTCTTTTTATAGCCTCTGGAAAGGCGGAGCTTCCAAAAATGACGTCAGCCTCGTCAGCCAATAGAGTTCGCTTTAAATATCTGCAGAACATTCTAAAACTGTACGTGTAGAAGAAGCGCGGAAAAACAACTTGACTACGGGGCTTTGGATTTAATTACACGTACTTTCAAATAAGAGAACGTCGCCATTAAAAATGAAAAGAACATACAGTTAGAATTTTAAGTGTATTCTTGACTATGGAATTTTATTAAAAGCACAATAGAAGCAGTTATAAATATTGATCGCGTAGCTTATAAATAGCACAGAACGTACAATGTTGAACCCGTAATGAACAGCAAGAATTTTGATTGCGTAAAATGTTGATCCATAATGGATAGCAAACTGACAGTCGAGGCAGATTAAATCTTCATTTTTACTTCCTTGTACGATGTAAAGGAAGTTTTGTAATCACGAGGAATTCCGGGGACCATATTTCAACGAAAATTTCCATTTTGACCGTTAACGGATGCAATTTAAAGATGTTATGGTGCAACATCTGTATGTAAGGACAGAATGAAAGACTCTTCTTTCCCAAACGAATTATAAAACTAATTTAAAAGGGATTCAGAAAAGATTTTTTCGTGGGGGTCTGTAGGTACGTACGTACGAATGTAGGTATCTCTCATAATAACAAGTAGCCTGAAAAGGTTGAAATTTTGTATATAGGACTGTTATAACATATAGTTGTGCACCTCGCTTTTTGGTTGCAACGGCCGCACCAAAACTATATATGTGAGATATAACAAAATACCATGGCTGTAAGAAATAATTGGCGACCTCAAAATGAACGATTCCAGATTTTATGCTCTTACCTTAAATTCATGTGTTCTCCTAAATTCGAGATCTTTCCATGTTACACAACGCTACTTTAAAAACGTAACTAAAACTAAAATTAACCAATCACAGCTTCGAGTATTTTCTGCATCTACTTAGTATAAATACTCTTTGCAAAACAACTACGTCATTCCTTTCCCTAGCTTGAAGCTAGAGAAAGGAATGACGTAGTTGTTTTGCAGTTTAGAAACTGCAAAGAACTCTGCGCCGCTAATGCTGTCCTGTCAGAAATGCTTACGTCGTACTTTTAAAATTAGTGTACATAAAAATTATCGTATTTAAATATGTTTGGATAAATTCCTTGCCTACAAAAATGGTCTGATGTGAATTATAATAGAATAAAAAATGTTTTGAAACGACTATATCTGGAAGTTTGTGGTTCTATCTATCTAAAGCACGTAGATTTCAAGCTGCAGCGCGTCAAAATATTCATGCCTCGGACATGACCACTACAAGCTGTTAAAGTATCGGATTCATCCTACGGGCCTAAAATACTACATTTAATAAAGTCTTCTAGGATAATAGTGCAAAAGTTTTCCCAACGGATTTTTAGTGACTGCGAACACAAAATTTATAAAGTGATTAACTCTGCTGCATTTCAACCGGACTAGTGGTTTTTCTGCTTCTTTGTATTCGCTAAAGAGGTCAAGCACGTAGTGATGACGTCTGCAAAAATGTTCTAATGGCGTGTTTACACTTGCTGTGTGTATTTAGTAAAACTGAGGCATCCAGCGTTAAAATATGATGCTTCAAATTGGTTTCCCGTGCATTAAGTATAGTGATATCGATACTTCTAAAAATTGGTTATTCAGTTAAATTCTTCAGTTCTCAGTGGTGATTATTTTGCAACTTCTTTAGTGTTTATATTTCGGCAAAAGATAAACAATTAACAATGGAGACCCGCTCGCAATCAAAATTATCTACAGAAATAATTTCTTTGATGGTGAATAAATTTCAATGTGCTGTGTTTGATGGCTCCAATAATGATACCCCTATAGATATATATTTTTTATTATTTAAAAAAAATACGACACTAAAATATTGGAGACAAGAATAATGCCTTGGTGTTTTCCGAATGCTTGACAGGAGAAGGAAACAAAGGCATGAGACATCACAGTTTGGCACAGGAGCTGAAACCAGAAAACCGTGAATAGAAAATGCCATGGTTGAAAGGAAAAATATACACAATTTTTTTCTTCCGAATAGGATGCTGTGTTAAGTAAATTTGTTAAAGGAGCTCTAACTAGCTAAACATCTGTGTTAAGTAAACTAGTTAGAGCTCCTATAACAAATTTACTGAAAAAAGATACTCCTTATAAATGGAGTAATGAATATCAAATAGCTTTTCAAAAAATGCATTAATTTCAAGACCCATTTTAACTTTATTTAATCCAAAATATCCTTGTCATATATTTGTGGATGCATGTTGGTGCAGTTTTGGTACTTTCAGCCAAACGCCAGAGGACGTCTACAACCACGCAACTGTCTCATGACCTCGCTAATGTCGCAGAAACATCAGTTTCAAGGAAGACAGTTTGCAGACGTCTCCATAAGACAGTACTGTATGCCAAAAAGCCCGCTATTTGCATCCCACTCACTCACTTCCACATGAGAGCTTTTACAATGGTGATTACGTTCACTCACTGCCACAAGAAAGCATTTACAATAGTGCATACAACACCATCACTGGATGGGCTAATGTTCTCTTCATGGATGAATACAGATTCAGTCTACAACTTGATTCTAGGCGATAATTGATATGGAGGAAACCTGTGACCTAATACCACCCCAGCAACATCATGGAAAGGGGCCAATATGGTGCTGGAAGATTGATAACCGGGGCAGGAATTTGCAAAATACTCGCACACCGCTCAATGTGTTTGACACAGGTACAGGAAGCAGCTCTTAGAGTCTTATGTGCGACTTTATAGGAATGCCGTTGACCCTGAGTTCATTTTTATAGAAGACAATGCGCGACAATATAGGGTGTCATTAACTCACCTGGTTAATGACTGCGTAGGAAGCGAGGATATTCACTGAATGGGTTAGCCAGCCAAATCTCCTGACCGTAATCCTATTGAACATGCTTGGAATGCTCTTGGAAAGCCATTGCAATACGGGAAACCGTACCATGAATCATTCGGGAGTTAAATACTGCTCTGGTGAAAGAGTTTATGCAACTTCCACAGGCACTCTTGAACTCTCTTGTTAACAGCATGGCTACTCGTTGTGTGTGCTGTCTACGTGTCAGAGCCGACCGCACAGCACACTAGTGACATTTTCACTGCCACCTTTCAAATTCAAGTTTGGACCAGATTGGTCTCTTGGCCATAACTCATGCTAATGAATGGCATTTTCATTGTTGTTTTGTACACATTATTGTCATACAATAAACTTTATCCATGCCAAATTTCATTTATTTCTATCCAGTATTTCTTGAGATATTTGAGAAAAAGTATTCCATCTTTTAATTTTGTCCATCAGTATATATATATACGTATATATATGAAATGTAATTTCTCATACATTATTTGTTTTGTGCAGCCGGGGCAACAGGAATGAGACAAATTTTGGAATATAAAGTGGTAGGTTTATTTCAGCATCCATCTCACAAGCGTTCTCCTCGTACCTTGCGCAGAAGCCCTACTTATACATATGTGTGCGTCACGAGGCTCCTCCAATCAGCGATATTAATTGAAATCACGAGGTGACGCTATCTTCTCATCAGGAGTGTCTTAAGTACTTTATGTAATATGACAGATTTATGAGTTGGCGATTGGCGGGGCGCCAACAGGTTAATATATTTTATACTAAAGAAAGGATTTCGCCAAAATTTAGGAACAGGATGCAATTTAGGTAGAGAATCGCCAACACATTATTAAGCAATATAATAGAATTTAATTTAATTAGTTGATTTAAAAAAATATCATTACAGATAGATATATATATATATATTTAGTACTAAAGAATATGATTATATTATTTACTTAGTCCCTCCCACTACATAAATACTTCACACAAGTCTTACCGACTGATATATTCAAAGCCCCCGCTGCCGATAAAGATTTCGGAAACACAACCCTTCTGAGTCAGACGCGAAGAGAACACTTTGCCGACTCCCAACTAGAAAGAACGTAAGTTAATTAATGCTTTTTCTGGCCTTTATATCTTCATGTACATTTCCTTTTCTTATTATATATTTTTTTAAAATTTTTATTTTTAAATTATTGATTTGTTTTTGCAAAGATTGCATTATTTTTCTTATATTTTGTAATTTTCTAATGTTTATTTCAATTACTTTGAATTCTATTTCATAATGCCAATTTTCAATGTTTAATTTTTTCAAATAGTTTTGAACTAAAATGCAAAAACACGAGGGTGTCGGGGACTACTACTCGAGCAATGTCAATTTAGCTGAAGAAATTGCTTTTCACTCAAAACTGAATTAGCTAAAATGCTTAATCGGAATGAGTTCTTTGGTTCTCTGCGTTAGTACTTGGTCCCTTCTATTCACGGAAATGTTTGGCCTAGCTTGAATTGCCGGTTTGGCATCGTCTTATTGCTCGAGTAAAGGACGAAACACCTTCGTATTTATTTCTTAATTACTGTTCATTGAACAGGAGTTGATTTGTTCCCCTCGTAAAGTCAACTAATTTCCGATCAACGGCAATGATTACTTGCATTCAATTTAATTACTGCGTTTAGTTTATTTCTTTTTACAATGAAATTTGTTATTCATGATTTAATTCAAGTCCCCGTTAAACATTTTAACAATTTACATTCAAGTTACTTTAAACATTTTTCGAAATTGAACTTACTGAGTATGGATTCACTCTTTAAGATTATTTACTAAAATTAATCTTAGGAGATAATATAATCAATATTCTTTAGTAAATAAATAATTTTTAACTTACTTTGCAGCAATTGCGCAATACATATATATATATATTATAAAAACTTGTTTTCGAACTAAGTGAATTTAAGATCATACAACATTATATATTAATAACGTGTTTGGCGTCTTACCGCATAAGCATCTAGTATATATAAAAATAGCGTTTCAGTGAGAAAATATTTTCTTTTTTAACAACAGAATATTTGAAAGCAAGTTTGACATAAAAAACAAGATTTTTTACATCTGAGTGTTCTAATGCTTTTAGCTACTGATAAAAACAACTTACTCAGATCAGAGAAAACAGGTTAAGTGTTGCATTGCATGCGAAGTTTTAAATCCTTCATTGTTTATTTATGTCCTAGTATCACCTGCCCAAACATCAGCGATCGAATTGCAAAAACAGTTTATGTTTTTATATTAGGAGAACAATAAATAGTGCATGCGTTTGTCTTTACAGGCTGCTGTTACCAAGGCGATGAAGCTCGTGCCATCCAAGTTTTGCACGTGAAGCCCGTGACATTCGAGTGCAACGTGATATTAGCTGGCACATTAGTAAGAACCATTACGTCATCGTGCAACTGCAAGTGTGGAATATGGTATGAAGCACATATTTATAGAACACCTCTTTTCTGATTCACATTTTAGTTTGCAAAAATAATTAACTAAAAAGATTAATTAGGTATTGTTTTCAAGCCATGAGACAAATTTTATTTGTTTCATACTTGAATGAATTAATATTTCTAGCTAAAAGAGAGTTATCTCGAATGGACTATTAGCCTATATTACTATTTGGCAGCGTATCGCTTTAAATGTCTGAATCACTTTTAAAATTATTGCTACCAAATATTATCGCCCTGTATTTATTGTTAAGGAAATTTAATAATAAAGAGTGTGCATGAAAGTATGTATGTTTCTCGACTGCGAGAAAGCGATGTTACCTAGGAATATCAAATTTTAAATAACATAGTCCTCCACCTCAAGATGTGCACCTAGAAGGACGGATTCTGAATTTCGAATTTTATACATCACATTTTGTAAAACTCCGGAACTACAAGTGGCACCCGAACTAAAATGTGGTGGACAATAATTTGTCACTACCAGGATTTGGCGACTGGGTCCTCTAATCCCCAGTCACCCTTGAAAAGAGGGACCATATAAGGTATTTCCCCCTCCTTTACGCATGACTTCCTAGTGTAATTGGAAGCATTCTCGACGCATATTCGAGAGGTCTGGTAATGGAGGACAATGCCTATTTTTTCACGTCTCATGCTTCAAAAAACCTAATGACTCTACAAACAAGATGATCTACGCAGATTTTTTTTGTATTTTTAACTTTATTACTTAACACCGCTTTCTTCATACCTACGCCACATAAATTCATTAGCAAAATCCCAAAACTTTTAAAAACAACTTATGTTTAGAATTACCGATACAGTATTAAGTATTGCCGTTATTATTGTTATAATTTTTATTTTACTATTACGTCTTTTCTCAGCTCGTTAAATTTGTGTTCAGTGTTCTTAGTAAGAGGAGTTAAGACGTACCGTTTTGTCTTTTAAACTTCATTTAATAAATAAGTTAAAGCTCAGAATACGTTGCATAAGCAAAACTGCGAAGGCGGAGCTTAATGACGTCATAATGGGTGGCCTAAGCATGGACCTATAAGAAATAGACTAACCCAAATGGGTTTTCTCCCTCGTCTGAGGCGTTGCCGGCTGTCACCTTGATCACATCCGGAGGAGTAGGGACGACTTGCAGAAATTTAACATGGTTGACTATTGCAGCGTGTATAATTATCAAGAAAAAGCTGTATGTAGCGCCTCATTTCACAAATTGAATTTCTATATATTTTTATTTTTGAAATTGAGATTGTTTTAAAACTTTAGCTATTTACAGCAAATTAACGTTTCAAATAATTCTCAAGCTATTGCTTTTCAGGGCTGATATTTTTTTAGCTTTCCTTGCTGTAAGGAAATTTGTACTACTATTAGAAAATAATATTTTAAATCTGAACTATTAAAAATTCAAACAAGCAATTTTCTTTTGCAAGTTTTTATGCTTTTCATTGGTGTAAACGTAAAAGTACTAAATATTTAAAAAAAGCTTCCTTTTGGGCGTAATATAAAATCTGAGTTCTTCTAGATATTATTTTATCTTTTTTCTTTCCCTTCATTACACTCGGAAAATTTTATGCTTCGAAATTTATGAATTATTAAAATAACTAATCCGCTTTAATGTTAATAATTTAATAATCATATAATCAAATAGATAATCGTTTCGTAATGTTATTATAGTTTGGAAAATCACTGCCTGGAAATGTCTATTAACTTTTTTTTTAAAATTATCAGATCTTGTTTAATTTGACCTTATTTATTTCAAAGCATCACGTACTATCAGTCTATTTAATTTTACTTTATTTTTTACGGCAAAAATTAAGTTCATAAATTTTTGCTGAGAGTTTTTACCGTTTTAAACCAAAGTAAAGCCTTTTGTACAAGAATTACGCGTGAAAAAATTGCGCGAAAATGCAGTAAAAAGTGCTTTAATGAGATACATTAAATCCTATTTGGAAAAACTTGTGGCTTTCATATATCTTCACTATACAACGTTCACTTTAATAATTAAAAGAGTTATGTGATACAAACGCCATAGGTTTCAATGTTAAAGTAAACCAGATCGTCCTACTCTTTCTTCTTGCCGACGTCGGTGACGCGCGCCCCCCCCCCACGGGTTAGTCTTTCTTATAAGTCCATGGCAGCCAGTAGTTCCTTTTTAGCAATCATTTTGGCTTGTTACATCATTATTAACTCTTAAGTAGTTTCGGTTCTCGAAGTGATCGGAAATGTATTTCCATACTTTGTGGTTTGTCATTTGGCATTCTGTAGATCCTAGGAAATGTGTGAAATATGAGTCGTTTCATACATCTCCGGCTAGTTTTAGGGATTATATACAATGCCTAGGCATTCTATAGAATGCCGGATTTCAAACTTGGCGGTAACATATCTTTAAAAGTGAACTGCAGAAAGGGACAATCCTTCATTTCCAGAATAGTGCTTATGCTTTTATTTGCTATAAAAATCTCAGTAAATCGGCATACAAATAAAGTGAAATTATTTTATGTATGCTCGATTTTATATGAAGTATACATGTTATATATAACATATGAACTTTGTGTGATGGTACTTAAACTAATTAAAGATGAGATAGATTTCAAGTGTGGATTATTCTAGTTCTCCTGTTCCGCTTCTAGTTTTCTGCCTGCTGCTTTTTCCTTATGTTTGCTTACTGATTGGTACTGCTTCTCCTTTGCTATCTTTTAATACAAATTTCTATAAACTTCACTATAAAATTTAAGCGATATTGCTTTTGTTATTTTTTATTACTATCAATAATTAATTAACAGAATCTATTAGTTGACTTAATCATTGGCTATACATTCTTTAGATGGAGTAATATCCTAATGAAATATATTCCACATGAGAAGAAGCGAAGCATAAAATTAATTAATTTAGAAGTCAAACAACAAAAATCAGCGTTATATTTACAAATGTTTCAGACTATTTCGATCGGTGGTTTTACCAACCATTCCCTCAGCTGCAGTGCAAATGACCGTGATAAGATAAGAAGATTGTTCGGAGTTAACTACTGGTCCATTATTGATGAAAAAAGAAACTTAAATACGATTTCTTAAAGGCTGAAGGTAAAGCTGGATGGAATTAGAATCGTAAGAAATGAAAGATTTTTTGAATGTAAACGCCCCAGGAATCTAATTCCCAATGGAAGATGCTTTTTGAATATTTTGGGGGCAGAAAAATGGAAAGTGTGATCCTCGGATCAATTGCTGGGCAACAGAGGTTTCCCGTGTTTCCGACATATATCCATATTCTTTAACGCGAAATTTTAAGGTTCAATGTAATTAACCTAAGCTAACATTGTTTTTAGATTTTAGCTATTACTATATTTATATAAATTAAAATTAAGTTCATAAATTTTGTGCTTAGAGTTTTTACCCGTTTTAAACCAAAGTAAAGAAGTTTGTACAAGACACCGGCGTACAAAAATGCGCGAACTGCTAAAAAGTGCTTAATGAGATATATTAAATCCTATTTGGAAAAAACTGTGGCTTTAATTAACTTCACTATACAACGTATCAATTTAATAATTCAAAGAGTATGATAAAACGCCATAGGTTTCAATGGTAAAGTCAACCAGATCGTCCCTACTCTTTCTTGCCGACATGTCGGTGACGCGCGCCCCGCCCACTGGGTTAGTCTATTTCTTATAAGGTCCATTGTCTAAGCTTATGACATCACTATGAATTCTCGAATTTTACACTATGTGTATTTACTATTTTTACTGAAAATAACAATAACCAGTTGTTTATTATTGTAAACTATCCGCTACGCGGCCAGCACTCGTTTGGATTTTAAATGTACTAGAAAAATGCCTAAAGGGAACACCAAATATTAAATTTAAAAACTGGACAGAATTTTACTCTGCAGAACAACTTTATCAAAAAAAATTTCAACAAAAATATATTATATACTATGTAAAAAATTACAGTGAAATAAGCAATATCCATTAACACAAATGTTAATTATGCTAATAAATAAATTAACCAACTTCTCGTTACAAAATCTTAAGAATTCAAATGGTATAAAGGAAGTTAAGAACTTTGTTTCCTAAAAAATCTGCAAACATTTATGTTATGTCATCAAAAAATATTATAGATTTTAAACCCCCTATTTCCCCATCTGATAGCAATGTATTCCTTTAAGCGTTACACCAATCCCCTCTTGAAAATGTTCCATGCCTCCGCAGATAACTATCATCATAGAGTACCCAATCAAGACTTTGGGATGCACAATTCTGCAAATTCTTGCCTTCGCTAAACGAATAGAGCGCGCGAAGGAATTCTTTCTGCGTGCCTCGCGAACACATGCGCGTGACAAAAGTGTGATGTGTAATATTAAATATTTATCTGATACTCTTCCACAAACACACATCCAGTATCCAAACATTAATAAAAACTTTGCCAAAACCACATTTCTAAAAGAATGAAACTATTCAAAATGATACGATTTCATCAAAAAGGATAAAATAAAGAAAAATTCTGATTCGAATTTTGGAAAATATCGCTTCGAGGTGCACTGGTTCTTGTCTAGATGCGTCTATGTACCACCTTTCGTAGCCCTGGGTCTATTAGCTAAAGGGCAGCAACGGAAGACACACACACACAGACAGACTCTTTCTATTATTATGTGTAGAGATTAACACTGAATTCTTTATTTTAAATTAACATGATAGAATAGTACGATTCTACTTTTATTAAGACGGTAAACAAGTCTCGCATACTTGTATTTCAGACAGCTTCACGATGCAAGAGGTCATAAATTTATATGTACTAAAATTTTCTTTTACAATGAATATGGTACTCTCTCGACAATTTTAGTCTCTGTTAGAAAAAAGAAAAACGAGTTATAACGCTAAAATTGACCAAGAATCATAGAAATTGTGAATTTGGTTAAACTTACATTAAAAAGGACTACTTTTATCTTAACTGATTTGTGTATTAAAAACAAACGAATTTCACAAC